ACCCAGGCTGAGGAGGCCACATCCACCTGTGCTGGAGAGAGGAAATCTCTCTTCCAGAAGCAGAGGTGGTTGCTAGAAAGTCAAGGCTTCTTTTTTTTTTTTTTTTTAATTTTTAGGGGGAGGTAATTAGGCTTATTTATTTATTTATTTATTTATTTTCTTTGAGGAGGTACTGGGGATTGAACCCAGGACCTTGCGCTTGCTAAGCATGCGCTCTACCACTTGAGCTATACCCTCCCCCTCTAGAAAGTCAAGGCTTCTAAAATTAAATCACAGCTAAAAATGTAGAGATTATGGTCAATAATGAATTCAAATGACCACAGCTAAAATCCTCAGAACTCTGGGGAAAGCCTCCTTTTCACCTCTCCCAAGCTAATCTCATGGCCTCATGATTCCTCTTATTATTCCTATTATTGTGGCTTCTGGAGGTTGATCATTCCATTAGCACTTTTCTCTGGAGCCCAGAATTCCTTCTGATAATATCTACTTTGTGTTCTGCACAATTCCTGGGGAGGTGGGAGGGGCAGAGACAAAGCCGATTGCTTCCCATATTATGAAGAGAGAAACTGAGGCCCAGGCCCACACATCCTGACTGATTCAAGGGGTCCTGGTCAGGAAGAGGACTTGCTGACCAGCTGTTGCCTGCTGTCAGGGAGGAAGGATGGGCCAGGCAGCTGCCAGCTATTCCCCTGGGCAGGCAACATGCCCAGGCCCTGGTGTGAGTTACACAGAAGTCCTGTCCCCTTTGGGAGGGCTGGGAAGCAGTATGGATCTGAACCAAACCCCAGTACAGGGAGAGGGAGAGAAGGGGAAGCAGCCCTCTTTGAAGAGGAGCTAAGGAGAAGATGGCCTGCTATTCGGGTCAGGAACATCTTCAGCCAAGATGAGGAGCGAGGGAAGGAGACAGCCCGAGCCTGGGAAAGCCTAGAGCTATTTTCCTCTTGAACATTCATATCTAGTATTTAGTGATTCAGCAGGACTGCAGTAGGACTCAGGAATCTGATTTTTTAAAAAATACTTTTGATGGCTTCTTTTTTGTTTGTTTTTATTTTCTGTGGGGAGGAGATAACTAAGTTTATTTATTTATATATTTATTTATGATGGAGGTACTGGGCCTTGAACCCAGCACCCTGTGCACGCTAAGCACGCACTCTTACCACTGAGCTATACCCTCCCCTCCTCAGGAATCCGAATTTTTAACAAGTGCCCCCAGGTGATTCAATGCAGGTGATCCAAGAATCACATTTTATAAATTTGACTTGAGGCAAGGTAGTATAGTGTTTAAAGGCCCAAGATCTGGAGTTATACTAGCCAGGTTTGAACCCTGGCTCCATTACTAAATGTTTGATCTTGAACAAGTGATATAATCTCTCTATGTCTCAGTTTCCTCATCTTTAAAATAAAGACGCTTATAGTAGCTTTCTTGTAAGGAAGCTGCAAAGATACATGATTTATGTAAAGCATATAGCACATACATGGTGCCCGTTAATCTCTCAACAAATATTAACCATTATTATTTGTTCCAACTCCTCATTCCCACCTCCAGCCTCACTCCCACCAGAGGAAGTGGTATTGGATTAATATAGGGACTTGTCACCACAGTATTGTTTTGGATGTAGGTGATCTTTGGAGCGTGCTTTGAGGATTTCTGCTCCAAAGCCATTATCCTCCCATCACTCTTCTGATACCTTTACTGTGGACAATTTCTCTCCAATAAGCCACCTTGCCTTTCTCCTCTTCCTTTCCCCCTCAGTTTCCCTCTCACATGGCAAACTGCCCTCCTTCCCCACACCAACCAAAGTGATTTGGCTCAGGATGTGTCCTGGAAAGTAAAAACATACAGCAAGTCAGCTGTAGAGCTGTGAAGACCCCAGGATTCCTGAAGATCACAGAATTTTGTGCTCTGGGACTTATGAGTAAGCTTCAGATGCAGACAGGAACTGAATCCTTCTGCTACCCAGGTTCTATCCGTGGAAACAGGCCGTCTTCCTGGGAAACATATCCTGTGCAAAGGTGTGGCTGAAGCCCAGGGTGGGTGTGTGGGAGAAGGAGTCTCTGCTCTGCATAAACTCTTGCAGGCATTCTCAAGGCTGATGGCAACTCCCAGTGACCACAAGCAGAAGTGGCATGGGGAAAGATGAGGATGAGATGAAATAATCCAACCAAGGACACAAAGGAAAAGCAGAGGAAGTCAACTTTCAAATACAGTAGTGGTGCTAGTTTTCGGGTTCCTGAACCAGGGCTAACCTGGGATGCAGAGAAAGGTGGTGTCAGCTTTCTTCATGGCTGAGCCTGTCTCCTCCCAGACACTCAGCCCTCCAGAGAACCACTGCTTCTAGCCTTCCCTTCTCCTTCCAATGCAGCTGAAATGGAGAGCCTCTGGGATGTGCTGGAGGAAAGGGTGGAGAGATTCTGCCTGAAGAAAGAAGTGGCAAGCCTGGGTTTGACTCTAGCTGGGCCCACAGTGCCCCTAACAACTGGTGCTCCTCAGAGCTCCCTGCTCCAAAGCAACACCGTATCTGGCCTTTCAAAATCCATCCACTGGTCAAGGGCACCATATGCCATCTCATAACTGCAACCTTCTGAGCCCCCTCCCCTCCACACACACTCTGGGATTGCCAGATAAAATAAAGGATGCCTAGTTAAACCTGAAGTTCAGACCAACGACGAATAAATTTTTAGCATAAGTATGTCCCAAATATTGCATTGACACATACTTAAAAATTATTCATTGTTCCGGGGATGGTATAGCTCGGTGTTAGAGCACTTGCTTAGCATGCACGAGGTCCTGGGTTCAATCCTCAGTACTTCCGTTAAAAAGCAAACAAACCAACCTAATTACTTCCCCCACCAAAAAAAAAAAAAAAAGAAAAGAGTATTCATTGTTAATCTGATATTCAAGCTACCCTACTAGACTTAGCAATTCTTCTAGATTCTAAACCCTTCGGAATCCCCCTCCCCGAGGCTCACTGTGGGGCTCTGAACCTGTAGCTGTCTATGCCCATCTGTTCTGTCCTTGGCTGAGAACATTGGTTCCAGTTGGCCATCTAGACTGGAAGTTCTCTGAGGGTAAGACCCAGGCCTTGCCCACCATCTCTGTTCCAGGCAGGGACGCTCCTTACGGATGCACACAAAGGCGCCGGCAGAGATGGGGCATGGATGTGCAAAGAAACCCATCCTCAATTCTTTGCCGGCATCGGGGCCCTCAAGGGAATGTGTCTGAGTCTTTGAAAGGCGCCTTTTTCTGACTGATACGCCCAGAGGAGCGCCTGTTTCTAACTGGTTCACTCAGAACGAGTGCCCGTTTTTCATTGGCTGATTGGCAGATGGGTGGGGCCTACTTCCGAATAATGCGTCCACAAGAATGCCTGCTTCTAGGTCTATGCAAAGAGGCACCTTAAAAAAGTTCTTCCATCCAAGTGGCGCCTTTTTCAAACAACACAAAAAATCTTGTGCGCTGCTGAGGCCCTAAGCTAGGATAAGTATACTGAGTTACATTTGCTTAGCACTTTATAGATTCCAAATTACCTTCACACACATTAACACATCTCAATTCCACAAGCTCCAGAGGTGGGTATCATTGTGCCATTTTCACTTTACAGGTTATCGAACTGAGTCTGGAAGAGAGACAGCAATCTGTTCGCAGTCACTAAGGCAGATAATGAAAACAGTTTACTTTTGCTCAGTACGAGTTTAACTAGAGTTTTCAGGTAAATCATCTCTCCACCCTTTCTACAACTGTGTAGGGTTTATAAAGCCAGGCACTTTATACTCATTTTCTCAATCAACATGCAACTCAGGGAGCTAAATATCATTTGTTCTCATTTCATTGATGAGAAAATTGACTCTCAAAGTATTTAAATCCTTTGCCAAAGGTCACAGGCTGAAGCCTACCGTTTATAAAGTGCGAGCTGCATGATGCCAGGCAAGGAGCTCACTTACAGGCATTATTCTCTGATTAAATGCTTCCTATTATCACATGATATCGGTATTCTTATTACCCCCATTTACTGCTGAGAAAAATAAGTTCTGAGAGGGTGGGTGACTTGCCTAAGACCACACAGCCAGCAGGTGGCTGAGACAGGATTCATACGGCTAATGAAGAAGCAGATCTGGAGTTCAAACTCAATTCTTCTCACCTCAGCCCTGAGTTCCTTCTCTCACACCCCAGGGCCTCGGTCCCTGCCAGTCTGGCTGAAACAACCAATGACCCTCTCGTAGGCCAGGTCCTCTATTCATCTAAGTCTTAGGTAGCTACAACCGCCAGGAGAAGACGCGTCTCCCCCCGCCTTTCCCAGAGAGATCCGGATCCAGTGGAGGTGGTAGGCGAGAGGTTGAGTCCGCGGGGCGCCGGGTGCGGCCGCACCTCCTGCGGAAGAGGCTCCAGCACAGCGGCGCGTTCCAGCGGCTGAGCGGGGTGGGTGGGGCCGTCGTGCTGGGGTCCCTCCCCCTCCTTCCTCCCTCTCTCCCTCCCTCCAGGTCCCCTGTCCCACGGACCCACTGGCAGGCACTGCCGGGCAGGACGACCTCGAGC